GAAGAAATCAATCTTAATCAGTGTAAACATGAAACAGAAAAGCGGATAATAAGTAGAAAAGAATATTTCCTATTCTTTTTTTTTACTAATGTTAACAATATTTGTTTCCTTTGTTACTGATTTTATTGATTTGATAAGCATTCACTTGTTATGAAGAAGAGAGAACTAAATCCCCAAGATGTCAGGGGGGGGGGGATGAGGGATAATGAAGAGTATTTATACCAATTAACTAATTAAGAAGTAACCTGTATTGAGCAATTCAACTCAGTATAGTAATAGAAAATTACAATTATCAATAAACAATAACTGATTCGTATTCCACAAGTGATGGCTGCTGTGACCTTGGACCCTGACCTTGGAAGAAATAACATCACTCACTAAGGTATTAGTACATTCAGCTGATGAGTGTCAAACAGGACGAAATATAAGTTATGGATTTCATTGACAATAGTCTATTGAAAAAACTTATCATATATTTGTGCAACAGATTCCAAGCATTCTGATTACACTTATCACTTGTCATAATATTTAACATAAAAAAGGCAAACAGAATCGAGTCAACTAAACACTTTAAGCCAAAAGATGATCCATACAATTAATCAGTGATAAAGAAAGAATACAATGTTTTCAATAAACCTAAGTACTTGATGCTAATGACCCTATAATACTGTTTTAAGACTATTTAGATGTTAATTATATCGTCGATTACTGATACTGTCTGTCTACCGACTGTATCCATTAAGTTATTCCAGGTCAGTATCTCTGTCCATTAGAGAAAATATTACGTCACAGTCAACTCTATACTTCAGTCACTCTTCTCAAAACATTTGTCCATATACAAATGAAAATAAGTGTATACAACAAGGAATTACTGAATAAACCATATGATGTTCATGTTCATGTTAAGATAGCCACTTTGTACTCTTGAAGACGATAAATTCAACCGTCTAAAACATTTCTTCAGCCTTCCCTTCTAAATACTACCCTTTTCTCTCTACTTACATATAATACTTAGTGAATCTCAAGATTAAATCACTTTTGCTACGATCTATTCACTGATTTCTCAGCCAAGGTTCTGATTCCTTCCAATACTATATATATGTAGCGCAAATATATCGTATACTCCTAAGTAAGCTATCTAAATTCAGCTACTGGCATATTCAAATATTTTTCCGGTAAACGTATCTTCTCGTCAACCAGAAAATGGAGTCAATTACCTTGGTTGTATTTTGTTCTCTGACCTGGGTTGTTTATTGGTGAGGTTTTCATCGTCCTTCTAGACGACAAACTGAATATCATTTACAAAATCAACTGCAATAACTGTAGCCCTCTTCGCTTTCGTCTACATGAACACCAGTTGGCTATTAAACGTCACGACATTTCATCATTCATTTCAATGCATGTGGATAATTATGGACATCAGTTCAATTTCGACAATGTAGAAATTTTGGACAAAGGAAACACAAAGAATATCGGAGAATTCCTAGAAGCTTGGCATTCAGGTCGGTCAGTCAGCAATCAATAGATGTATAGACATAGACCCAATCTGTCAACCAATAAGAAGTATGATAAACGACAGAAAGGTCAGAGGTCAAGCAGAGGAACAGCCAACAGAAAAATCTATACAATCAATGACACAACAATTTAAGGAAACAACCAATCATAGACCACTTCGTCAAGACAAGCTACTAAATCACTCTCTGACGGAGAGATATTGACAGCTCACTTCATACTGAAGTTAGTGCTGATGATGTCGCTGTCTAGAAGGAACAACCCAGCTCAGAGAACACAATACAACCAAGACCATCGACCTGAGCTACAAATATTCTCCTCTATTTCAAAATTATAGGAGTCAATTACCGTTTAGCACCTTATAAAATAAATTCATACAAGTGTGTACAGTTATAAGTTTCTCTGATAGAAGTCCCACGCCTTCATGACTGTTACATAGTAAACATATTATCGGAATGCCTTCTGTACAGCTAAAAACCATTCTGATAAAATCGTCAACAGAAATTGACATGTAGATATCAGCCAGTCAACCAGTCCTAAAAGGATTATTCATATCGGCACCATCGATATTTGAAGAATATTCATCTTCAAAACTAAAGTGAATCTTAACCCTGAATAGTAATAACCGCTCTTCAAGATATATTGGAAGGAAATAGAATGACAAATTATACAAGGATATGTATAGCTCCAAAAACTACCAACAATCGATGCTAAACACATATTGGTGAAGACAATAAGTTGAAACGTAACTTTTTTTAATGCTTAAGAAATTCCTTTTCCATTGTACTTAGAACCTTCTCTCTAAACACTTAACCAAAAGTTAATGTTGACAGTTATGGATTATTTACTATTCATGTCTTAATTAATGCATATTATTTTCGATATTCACATTGGACAAGTTAAACCTTAATAACAATAATCATCTTAAGAAGTTTGGTAAGATTTCAAGTCAATTTCTTTAACCAGTTTTCTATCAATTTGCTTTGCCAGGGAATATTCATCATAGTTGATTGTTTCAGTCATATCTAGTCAATGAGAAGTAGGTCAGATGCCAATTTTGGGTTTGAGAATGACTTTTATCATGCCTACTCCATAATCAGAGTACTTCTTTCAACCAGAGCTAATCAATTAATGAACAATATCAACAAATTTAACTTTAATTTTTAGGATACACTGAAACAAGTTAATTCAGGTAACCATAATGATCTTTAAAATCACTTTAACACCAAGGATCATATAAAAATAGTCAAGATTCTCCAATAATTCATCGATCCTGCTACATGTATTTAACCATTTCCATTCAGTCTCCTAATCATCGTTTCACATCATTTACAACGTCTAATCAAACTTGCTAAAAGGTGTACGAATACAGCCGCATTGTATTGTAAAAGCCTTGTGAATAAATAACCTTAAGCTGAAATTATGTGTGCTGAGACAGTTTATACAGTCCCTTAGGCTATCTTGAACCTAGTTTATCACTTATCTCTCTGATGGCATGTTTCGCATAACTAGATCTTCGTTATGAATTTATAGGTATTAGCTAGCAGTGGAATCCTAGATGTGCATCTCTTTCTGCTTGAGACTTGTCAGCTGGATTTGTTTGCATCCCAATAAGTGTGAACCCAGCACCCACCACTTTGGACGCCAGGGTGTCAACCATTGGGCTAATTGGTCACCATCGTCACTTCGTTTGCAATAGCTATCATTTTTCGTTAACTACAGTTCCCCGTTTGTCGTTATACTGGGATGAAGTGATCGATACATCTTTGCACATAAGCTCCCCAAACAGATGTCTCCATATAGCTTCGATTTTCCGTCAGTTCAAGGAGCCAATATTTGGTCATCCGACCCGGTCCTGTTTCTGTTCACCACACAGTAATTACAGGAGTAAATATTTGATTATTAGATATCAAAACCAAGTTGAAATTTTGCAGATTAAAAACATTTGAATAGTAAGAAAATGATGTCTATTACTTCAGTATTTGTATTTCACAATGGAAACAAGGCTATTTTTACTGAAATTTCACTGTCAAAGCAAAATGGTTAACCAAGATTTACAGTCTTAAAGCTTTCATTTAACGACTCACGCAAAGCTCTTTTACATGGATGCTACTGTCTTGCCGAGTTGCTGGGAAGGAGAACCAGTATATGTAGAATGTTAAATGCAACAGTTGAGGGGATTAAAAAACTCAATTTTTCATTTATACATGAGATCTTAGTTCTTACAGAACGTGTGCTGATAACGTTAGCTTTTTAAGAGGAGACAGAAACGATGCTGCATTAAGCTGTACAATTGAATGTTCAGGCTACCTTCCTAGGTCAGTCATTGTCATCATCAATATCAACATAGGACTAGGGATTATTGCGTTATGGTCCGAGTTGCCACACCTCATATCAGCACATCAAGTAAAAAGGCAGTGAGGTGCAAGATGAAGACAAGAAAATTCAGTGAAAAGAAATGCAAAGTACTAAAAGAGAGAAAGGAGGGATGAGAAAATGGTGAAACTCGGTATAGAGTCGTTAAGATGAGGAGAATGCATGTATACATCTTCCCCCCCCCTCCCACTGATATCGGTTGCAAGCCATATCACCTAGAGTCTCCAACCACTGGTTTCTCTTGTCCCAGTGACCCCAACCACCTAGTATGCATCGCCCCACATGGCTCAAACCAACAGTCAGAGACTTCATACATTGGTGTCATGTTTTAGTCTGGCCACCTCGGTCCTTTTTCCAGCCTGGACCTACTTCAGCCAACATTGTGTGAAGATGCAGTCGGCGACTAGACATATGTAACACGTGTCCCAACCATCTCAGTCGATGAAGGTCCACAACAACAATGTCAACTGATTTACCTCTTCTCCCTAAGACTCTACACCTGACGTCTGAGTTACTTACGTGGTGACACCACGGAATACGGCCTATACTACGAAGGCAACGGTGGTCAAACATCTGAGGCCTTCTCATGTCTTCCACCTTCAATGGCCATGTTTCATAGCCATAGAGTAGAAGAGAGAGAACTGCTGGTCAGTAAGGTGCAGTTACCGTTGACAAGTTATTTTCATATATCTGAACAAGAGATTTATGCTCTACCACCGAGAAAAGTGATAAACCAAATACATTTCAAGGATGTCTACTGTCCATGCCTTCGTCATTTTGAAAGAACTCATCAGAAATCTGTTTCAACTGAGTGACAGAGCACAATCAGTATATTATTTTCTCACCACTGTTCTCTCTCTGCATGTAATTAAACCTTACAGAGGTTTGGTTACAGCTAAGCAATAATATCTCAGTTAGCTCTATTAACCACCATTAGTCATCGAGGTTCCTGAAGTATCTTGGTAATAAGTACTGTTAAAATAACCCGTGAAACGCATCCTGGCAACTATCCCCAACGTTTATAACACTATTTCTTTTTCTATTTTATCTGTGAAGTTTTTTTATAGATCTTTATTTTCTCTAACAGTTTCTATCGTAATTTACTTTACTAGAAAGAATTCCTCAACATTGTGGTCGCAATGCATTTGATGAAAGATGGTCTAGGTACTTCAGTAAACCAATCAGTAAGCGTATTGTTGGTGGTATTGCTACTGCTTATGGTGAATGGCCATGGCTTGCATCATTGATGTTCTATCAGACAGCTCAACAAGTAAAATATCAAAGAGTAATGCAAGATGATTATGAAGATTATGAATTACCACAGGATGGTAAAGAGATAGAGAATGTTGAACCTTTGGATCCATTTATACCACCATCACTTGTTCACAATTATCCTGATGGATCAAGAAGATTTCATCTTTGTGGTGGTACACTTATACATCCTCAATGGGTTTTAACAGCAGCACATTGTTTCTTGTAAGCAAAATTATGGTTATTATTATGATTATTATTGCCTTTTTTTACTTATACGCGTTTGGTAGCTCAAGTAATAGTTTAAAGGCCTGTTGTTCCAATCTTAGTAAATAGAAGAATAACTTCCGCTCTTCTGTAAAATTCAGGATCAAAATTTGATCTCATAGAGAGAATAAGAAGTATGTCAATAAATAGTAATAACTTCTACCCGTTGTACAAGAAGCGGCTATCTTTCTTCTGTGGCATAGTGGATAGCGTCTTGGCGTTTGGAGCGATGGGTACGAGGTCCGAGTCCCAGTAAGAACAACACTGATTAGCAGGTACGTCCGGCTGACGAGTCCCTAATAGGACGAGACGTGCTTCCTGGATTCTCCTGCTAGCCACATCCAACCGATTTATCGTAAATGTCATCGATATGCTGGTCAGTAAGAGTTCACAATTTGTTTCTGTTTATCTGTGACTGGGTGTGAAAGTGTAAGAACTATGATATGGATAACAAATTCGGTTTGTTTGTATGTACTTTTGATCAGATCATCGTGTGTGTGTGTGTGATGTGTTGTTTTTGGAAATACTTACTGTCCAGGTTGATTGGATAGTTAGGCCTTCCATTCTGTTAAGTGCATTGGAGTTCAACATAATGTGAAATGCCTCACCTCTGCTATTCTCCTTTCTTTGTAGTCTGAATATCCTTTTTGAATAATTTTAATATTTTCAATATCAATTTTATAACTGTGATAGATGGTGTGAACTGTGATCACTGACTTGATTTGTAAATTCTCTAGTTGGTGGTCATTTTATATAACTTGCTTATTCTTTAGCCCGAATGAGGATCGCATGGAATGATTCCCCAATATAATCGGCATCACAATCGATACAGCTTAATTTGTAGACACAATTTTGTGTGGAGGTAAAAGGAACTTTATCTTTTATGTGGACTAGAGCATTCTTCAGAGTGTTGATTGTCATGTAAAAGGCTTTAATTAGGCGCTTTCTTAAGATTCTTTGTAGGTCTTCTCGGTTGTATCTTGGCGGAATGGTAGAAGTACTGTGCCAATCCAAGAATCATCATTTGAATTTCATCTTGGGTCCCTTCGCTCATGTTTCTGAATCTTTCGATGACATGATGACGGTAGTTACTGGAATTTAATACATCTGATATATTACTTACTTCCGTTTACCTGTCATCTTCATTCGTGATGATGTTTGTGGCTGTCCTCAATGAATTCTGAGCAAGTGGAAGTTTAGCACTGAATGAATATGCTGAGTTGAAATCAAGATATCGGTGTGAATGTGTTGGTTTACGAATTTGTCATGCATATTATTTGTTTATTTCTTCTTACACTTTGACACTTAGTCACATGGACACATATTCCTATCATCTCATAGTGAACCCCAGACTAATTTACAGATAAACAATGAAAAATTGTGAACGCTTCCTGACCAACATAACGATGACATTTACGTTCATATTATTATCATGTTTAGACAATGTGATCTGATTCATCACCTTGTACTATCGATAATGATAGATAACTTGTACAGGTTTTATTCTCTGAAGAAGAGATTTCCATGAAGTCGCGAGACATCAGAAGTTTATATTTCTACTTAATTAGGTTTTTATAAAATATATTCAACTTTTCTGTCTGTATTTATGTCGAAACATCATCAAATATGTAGTACTAGATCTCTGTATGTTATAAATCAAATAAACAAATCTAACATGGAATTAAATCCTACCACCGTGACCAAATTTTGCACCTATATTTATGTCTAACTATCTAGCATATAGTACTTATATGACATTACAAGTCACCTATCAAGCAAATGATTTCTCCTTTTATCTCTGATAACTATCACAAGTCATGGTTTCTGTGTATAACCACTCTCGATATTTATGAGTATACATCAGTTATCCAAACGGGAGGAACTTAAAGGAAGTAACCTCCTTCACCTATCTAGGAAGCACTGTTTCAGCTACAGGTGGCACAGACGAGGATGTCAAAGTCAGAATCGGAAAAGCAAGACAGGCGTTCATTAGCCTGAAACCGGTGTAGAGATCTTCTGCATTCAGCATAAAGCGTGAACATGATCCGGATTTTCAACACCAACGTCAAGTCAGTGCTTCTGTATGGTTCAGAGACTTGGCGCGTCACGAAGGGGATTTCCAATAAACTACAGACATTCATCAACAACTGCCTACACTGGCTCGATACTGAAGATCAAATGTCCAGAGTAATGAGAATAAGCAACAAGGAGCTCTGGGAACAAACCAACCAAGAAGCTATCACTCAACAAGTATGCAGTGGAAGGAAGTGGAGATGGATTGGGCATACACTGAGAAGGCAGACTGGGGACATCACGCGTCAGGCCAGTTGCTCGAGTGGAATCCCTATGGGAAGCGACGAGTTGGACGTTCGAGGGTGACATGGAGGAGATCGTGTGAGGAGGAGATGAGAGCTTCTGGGCTGTCGTGGAGCCAGGTTCAAAAGACTTCGGCCAACAGAGTTCACTGGAGATATGCTACTGAAGCCCTATGTTCCACTAGGAACCCAAGGGACTAATAATGATAATAAAAGAACAGATTTTTTTACTATGTTATAACAATTTTGAAAGCAAATTCAGTTGAAAGTGATAAGCTATAAGAAAAGTGTAAGCACAATCAACGTTTATCAGATAAAATCAGTAACTCGTTTTATAATAACTGATTAACAGTTTCTTTAAATAACACAAATTATTTTTATTGAAAACATTTTTGTTATTTTGCCAGTAAATCTACGGCAATTGAAGTAAATTGTTTCATGACATTATGCCCTCCCATCTTCTAGAATAAATAAGTTATCCCCTGCAAGCCTTATTCAGTTTTCCGGAAGATTTCCAACAGTCCCTTAGAGATTGTAAATATGGCTTGATGATGCGTATCTACAAGTATGAAACGGTGGACAACAAAGGTTTCTTGCTGATTGGTTCCAAAGATCTTTCATCAGTCAAAGTCTACTAGTACAAGAGTAAAACTTGAGCACTGTGGTCGAATGTAATTCCATTTTAGTCTGTTTATTCGAAATATCACACAGTGAAGCAGTAGAATATACTGGTTAACGTTTCAGATACAGTTTATTATCCATATTCATATCAGGTAACTGCACAACTTCCAGGCACACTTTATATATTCCTAATTTTCTCTCCTTCTGTGTGATGACAAGGGTAGTAGAATTTTCCGTATATCCGAAACACAGGTGCAGAATCATTTCTATTACTGCATGTATTTGGTGTTGATTCGATCTACAGAGATTCAGTTATCAATCTCTCCCTCCTTCCATTCAACTAAGTTTTTAACTCTGTCGCTCTATCCCATCCTGTGTGGCTGTATAATTGCGTGCAGAGCTATAACTGGGCTTTTCTCTAAATTTCTTATCTTATTAAGATCTACTAATCTTGAAGCTTGGCATTCAGGTCGGTCAGTCAGCAATCAATAGATGTAAAGACATAGACCCAATCTGTCAACCAATAAGAAATATGATAAACGGTAGAAAGGTCAGAGGTCAAGCAGAGGAACAGCCAACAGAAAAATCTATACAACCAATGCCACAATAATTCAAGGAAACAACCAATCGTAGACCACTTCGTCAAGATAAGCTACTAAATCACTCACTGATGGAGAGATATTGACAGCTCACTTCATACTGAAGTTAGTGCTTATGATGTCGTCTAGAAGGACGATGAAAGCTCCACAATTAAACAACCCAGCTCAGAGAACACAATACAACCAAGACCATCGACCTGAGCTACAAATATTCTCCACTATTTCAAATCTTGATTTAGCTAGGCTTTTGTGCTCTGTTATTCTAACTGACCCTGGTCGACTAATTTGATCTATGTATTATTGCAGCCAAAAAAACAAGATTTGTAGGTTAAAAGACGTTTCACATACAATTAAGCAAACTAATCGGGTTGGTTTTGTGACAGAAGAGCTTGATAGCCGAATCTTTGTTTATTGAATCAACCCCAAATACATGCAGTAATAGAAATGATTCTTCACCTGTCCCAGATATATGAAAAATTCTACTACCCTTGCCATCACAAAGGAGGAGAGAAGATCACAACTATATAAACTCTTTCTCAAAGTCGTGGAATCAAAGTCTTCTAGCTTGGTCACCACATACCAAGTTATGTATAGAGTTTGAGAAACGCTCCAAACAACATGGGACTGATTACTCTCCAGTAGAGATTCAATGTAAAATTCCTTATCCTACACCTCACTCTGTGTACATAATTATTTAGCTAGTGTACTTTTAGGATTGAAGGAGTTTCAAGGTAGTTACTTGTTGACTTCCACTACTACTACTTGGGGAAGACGGCTAAAATTTAGTAGTGGAAAATGTGCATCATTTTTCAACTTTTCTTCCAAACACAAATATCTCATCACTACCACTACTTTTCTGACTACCGTTTTTCTTTAGATTTTCATGGTCCCAAACTTCTTGCCTTATCAATGAGTAATGTATGAGAGGAGATTTTGCAAAACTTCAATAATTCAAACAAGCCTTTCACTGTGTTACTTCAGATACAAACTTTAATATCTAGAATAAGAGGAAATTAAAGGATAAGATAATAATGAATCTGGTGCTATCAAAATTATATGACTTTCTCCCTTCGAGCTCAATAGTACCGTATCATAAATTTAATCACTAGCACTTAAGCTTCGCATCCGTCTACTCTTAGGTGATCTACTATGTGGCCACCAAGATTAGTTATGCAACACTACGGTGCTTATATGTATTGAATGGTCACGGGAATGCAATCAATATCATGTTGTCTAGTCCTGAGTGCAGACCGAATCCTGTCGATCATATTTGCAATGTGCAACCACGCTAGGAGGCTCAGCATTACGGTGCACATTAGTAGATGTTAGTTGGTTGGAGGCAATCGGTAGGAAGCCCTGCACCCAGGTTTCGTGCATTCTGACACTCGTCAGCAAGGCATATCTGCAACCTCGACGGGACTGA